GTCAATCAGTAATCCGCTGTTATTTTCAGGTGTACTATCTCCGTGGGATCGGGAAGCTCCTGAAGCTCCTGAAGGACGACAGCGAGGAGGTGCAGCGTGTTACTGCCGGGGCGCTGCGCAATGTCGTCTACCAGAGCAACGAGAACAAGATGGAAGTGAAGGACAACGAGGGTTTGGTCGTAATTTTGCAGACGCTCAAGGGCAGCCGTGATATCGAGACCAGACGGCAGCTTACAGGTCCGTGTTTTTTAACTTTGCTACGTAAACAGAAGCAACATTTTTGCAAACACTGTCAAAACAGCTGCCTTAATTTGTTTTAAATGATAGTGGCTTTAAGGTCCATAAAATCTTACTGTGGCAGTTGTATTCGTACAAATGTGCACCGACCACGTACCACATTAATACCTAATATTGAATGGGTCTGACTTGTGCCACCAAAACAGCTCTGACATGGCAGGACATGTACACGGCACTTCGTGGGGTCTGGGTCACATTGGGACTTTGGCTGTTAATTCTTAAAGGAATGTGAGTTGTTCTGATGCATCCTTCCAATTCTTGACTGGGGATTTGGGGTGTTTGGAGGCTGGCCTTGAGCTCTTGGTTCTGTTCCTCGAGCCATAGCAGTTTTTGTAGTGTAGCACGATATATTGTCCTGCTGGATAAGATTGCAAGTGTTGAGGACTGAATTTTGGCGGGTTCTGCTTGGTCTGTAACAATGTTAAGGTGGGCGGTACCTGTTGAAGACCCGAGGTGTCCCAGCAGAACATTGCATTCTAACAACATGGTCAATATTTTTCACCTCACCTGTCGGTGGGTTCACTGTTGTGGCTATCTGGTGTACATGTCCTTGCACAAAAACAACGTATATTTCCATCTCACTTCCAGGTCTGTTGTGGAACCTCTCCTCCAATGATATGTTGAAGAACCACCTAGCCAGGGAGTCCATATCTATCATCACCCACTCAGTCCTGGTGCCCAGTTCTGGCATTTCTGAAGGCGAGAACCCGAAAGATGAGCTCCTAGCTGATGCTGACACTTTCCACAACGCTACTGGCTGCCTACGGTAGGCGTCTTTCATAGCTATGAAACTACACTTGGTGATGTCTGTGAAGATTCTCAGTCATCCAGGTCATGGTTGTTCTGGTAGATTAATCGTAGCAACTGGACTTGCTTGAGTTCCTTGAAGACACCGAGACACAAACAAAGCAATGTGGTGTACGCAGTCCAGTGCAGCGAGGAATGAACAGACCTGTACATCGGGGAGACTAAACAACTGCTCCACAAGCTCATGGCTCAGCACAGAAGAACCAGCTCCTCAGGACAAAGGACACTCATTCAAAGACAGCAACTTACAGATTTTGGCCAGGGAGGACAGATGGTTTGAGAGAGGGGTGAAAGAAGCCATCTAACTGGAAAGACCATCCCTCAGCAGAGGTGGAGGTCTGAGGCATCACCTCTCTTCAATTTACAGTTCAGTCCTAAGATCTCTCCCCAGGAAGATGAAACCACATTCACACCTAGCCACAAAAGACCCTAACGAACCCCTTTGTGGCAAGGGGAGCACGAACGACTTGCATAACGAAGGGGAGGAGCAACAAACCCCCAACTGAAACCGAAACTCAGGTGTTAATGACTCCTTTAGGATATAAGTATCTGGAACTCCCAACTAGTCAGTCAGAACTGATGAAGCCTCTTGGATGAGAGGTGAAACATCTTCAGGGAACTCAAGCAAGTCCAGTTGTTACGATTAATCTACCAGAATAAACTTGGTGATCTTTTGCAGTGCATGCTATAGACTGGAGTAAACTTTGTATCCTAAATTCATCGGTCATTTTCTCACCTGCACCCACGAAAAAAACCCAAAAACAAAAACATTTTCTCTTGAGAGTAGCATGTATGAAAAACATTTAGTCAGCAGTGAAGTGTATGTTAGTAGTGATTATATTTAGTCGTTGTGTAACATACGGAAATCATTTTATGATACTACGAAGGGCAAGGGTTAACAGATGGCAGCGCTGCAATATACAGCATGAGTCAGTGTTGAGCGGAGTTATGACTAAGCCGTGTCCCAAAGGAGTAAACTGATATCAGGCTTCCACCAAAACCGGCTGTAAAAAGAAACAAATAACACTCACTGTCATTCTGTGGAAAGAGCCATTACCTTTTTGAACTCGCAAGCAGCAGATCACCTGTTTGATGGTGCATTTAGGAAATATCCCATTTGAGCAGTACAACAGAGCTGCTTCTCATCAAGTGATCACGATCCGATTTTTTTATACAGTTTCTTGGTGTCGTGTTAAACCACAGTGTGTATGTTGTGGTCTAAGACCGCGCATCATATTGTTGCCTTCTACTTGTTTAGACACACATCATCTCTCTGTTTACTAAGCAGGAGATATCAGACGCTCCGCTCCCTTGGCAACTATAGCCAGATGAAAAGAGTGAAAGACTGAATTATTCATCGAGCTCTCTCTGTTCTCCGCTCTGCTGAACTGAAATCATTCAGTCCTGGCTGGCCCAGGCGTTATCAAGTTCTCCTTATCATGTTCTGAAACCCTTTCAGCTCCCAGCGGGAGGAAAAAAAATGATGAGTTCTTCTTCCTTTTCTGTTTCATCTCTGCACAAAGAGCCTGTTGTGTGGATTTAGAATGTTAATCGCTGTATTTATTTTCCCGGGGAGGTTGAAGGACATAAAAAAATGGCTCCTAATGTAATATTTTGTCGTGATTGCTGCTGGCGTTGGAAAAGATACAAAACGGTGCATCTATTAGCTTACGTAATTACTTGGTTGATAGAAGAAGAACTGCTGTCTTTACTAACATGGATCAAAATGGAGCGGAGCGCTGCTTATCTGATTGAAGCACACTCTAATGCTGCATTACAGTGATTGTTGTGGCTGTTTTTGTTTCCAGAAATCTGAGCTCCGCCGGCCCGGACGTCAGGAGAGCAATGAGGGAGTGTGACAATCTTATAGACTGTCTGGTTTACTACATCCGGGGGACCGTAGCCGACTATCAGACAGATGACAAGGTGAAATGAACAGGAGAAGACACAGTGTGTTTCACAACAAACTGCCCAACGGTTCGATCCACTGCGTTGTCATGGATTCACAAGTAGGAATTTCCACTCCATTTTTATCACAGGGTTGCCAACTCACACATTTTTGGCATGAGAAATTCTCTTTCTGGCTTTGTCTCAGGCTGGCCAAGAAAATGTGATGCTAAATAAGAAGAAGCCTCAAAGTAGTTTCTTTGTGAGAAACCAGCTATACAAGGGTTGATCAAAAAAGTTTTGAGACTGTTGGTACGTAGATGTGCGTTTAGGATTTCTTGATGGGCTGCAAACTGGAGCAGAGAAGAAAACATCACATTCTGTATCAATCAGCAGCCAGATGATCCAATCTTCATGTTGGTGATGAGAGGAAGGTCTGCAGCTACCATCAAGAGAAGAAACAGCAGCTTTCACAGTAGAAAAGATTGCACTTCCCAGAACTGGACATGAAGCTTTAGATTTGGAGCTCACTGGGGGGATGCTTGGCTTTTTTTTCAACTTTCAAATAATTCTGCAGAGGTCGGACGTTTACTGTAGTGTTCTGAGCTGTCTGAGGTATAACACTTGGCGCAAACCACCTGAACCAGCACCTATGCACCATACATAAGGTGCATTGCAATTTATTTATTTTTGGCCACAACAACACAGTCGGACCTCCAGGAAGCGTTTCAAGCGTTGCATGAGCACTGGGAGCTTTGCATCGCTGCTATTTCAGCAGTGATGGCAGCCTGTTTTAAATCAGATACAGTTTTCAGTATTTAAAGACCCAGCTAACCTTTTGAACTTTTTGATCAACCCTCGCATGTGTTTAAACAGGTTTTCTCAGAGTAAAGTTTGAACGTCAGGCTTTTCCACATTTTACCACCAACAGCAGTGATCCATAATCATTACAGAGAGCACAAAAGAAGGCATTCGAGTTGCCAGAGGCGCACACACAGACTTCTCCAAAGTAATAAAACTGTTGTGTATGCTGAGTCACTTTGCTCTAAAGTCTCATATCTATTACAAACGGAAATGTCTGCAAAGATACAGCTTCACCATGACAAAGACGCAGTATGTAACCGATTGAAAAGATTCACAGAAAATGAATGTAATCCAGGTTCTGATAAAACGTTATCAGGAGCTGAAGTTTAGTTTGTCGCTTGCAGCTGTTAGTCTTTATTAAACATCCGAAGCATCAGACAGCAGCAGGTCCATATGAGTGTCCCAAAAGCAAGAGAGTTTTGCACTTTTGTACAAGTAGCACAAACACGATAACTTGATGAATTAGGCTACTTGACTTTATGAATTATCGCCAACATGGCGACAGTAGGGGCTGCAGGGTGGCGCAGTTGGTAGCACTGTTGCAAGAAGGTTGCCGGTTCACGTCCCGGTGGGGGCACCGGAATCTTTCTGCGTGGAGTTTGCATGTTCTCCCCGTGCAGCGTGGGTTCTCTCCTGGTTCTCCGACTTCCTCCCACAAGGTCCAAAAACATGTTGAGGTTAATTGGTGATTCTAAATTGTCCATAGGTGTGAATGTGAGTGTGCTTGGTTGTCTGTCTCTAAGTGTACTGGCGACCTGTCCAGGGTGTCCCCTGCCTAAGTCAGCTGGGATAGACTCCAGCCCCCCCGCGACCCTAGTGAGGATTAAGCGATGTATAGATAATGGATGGATGGACTTTATGAATTACCGCCAACATGGTGACAGTATTAATCAGGATCTAATGACAGGTCACGCTGTTGGCTTTTCCTCAGACAGGTGAGCTGACACTCACAAAGTCACAGTGTAGCAGCTATAGTTAAGTCATTTTCTGCGTAGCGATCTTCCTCTGGTTAAGTCCTAAGCACGACCACAGATATCGCAATATTATTTTACTAAATTCTAAAAAAGGACACATTGATCCCACCAAACTATAACAATAAGTAGTCTAGTAATCACGAAAACACGTTTTATTGCACCTAAGTGGCTGTAGTTAGAGATGTCATTACATCAGAGCAGAACTTGTTGTGGTTATTATTAGTTGTTAACTTCAGGTTTTGTGTTTTGTGACTCTATGTGTGAACTTTCTCTCCTTACCAGCACTGGAATTTCTTCTCCTGGAAATATTTTTTTCCCCTGAATCTCTCTCCAGCTGGCAGCTGAAAGTTGGCAACCCCGTGTTATTAGATTTTTTTTTTTGTCCTGATACAAACAGAAATCGTTTGGGTCTCAGGTGCAAAGCAAAACTCATTTCCTGTACCTAGAGTATAACTCCCAATCAGGTTTTCACTGTGCTCTATCTAAGTATGTGATTAAACAGCTTTCCACACTGTTTTTAATTTGATATTTATCTCCATCTTTATCTGCTCTGAAGTCCACAGAGAACTGCGCCTGTATCCTGCACAACCTGTCTTATCAGATCGAGTCGGAGCTTCCGCAGCATTACACCCATGATTTCAGAGAATCTCGGCAAAACTTGGCTCCCAATCCCAAGGCTCTCGGCTGTTTTGCTTACCGCAGCGCCAAGATCACAGAGGTAATCCCTTCGAACAATAATCCACTTTGACAATACAAAAGATGTCCTTGTGGAATAATATTTGAGAGTGATTTTCTTTAATCAGCCTAAAAAGAACTTCTTAGAAGGCAACTTTATTCAGCTTTCTGTTGTACCGTGTTAGTGGTGAGAAACACCCAAGAAAGTCATACGTTTTACCTGCTGCTCTGTCATGAAGACCTGCTGCTCCGTCACTGTCACATGCTTGAATTCATTATATAGCCTGCAGTATATACTGTACTTGTGATTGTTGAGCATGTCTTTCCAAAACCGTGGGCATTAATATGCTGCTGTAACAATCTTCTGCTCTCTACA